TATATATATATATATACAATATATTCTAAAAGGGAAAATCAAGTCTCTTAAATCTTTGAAGCATAGTGATATGAAGAATGTTTTGACATTTTTTTTAGTGTTTGAATATACAGGTTAGAGAAAAAAAATGTTTGAATCATAAATTATAATTAAATCGGTAAAGTAAATATTCGAGGACGACCTCGTCAACAATTTCAAAACAGAAATTTTTATACCGGTAAACTTATCAAAGATCTCCAAATTATTCGTCAGTCGGTAAATAGGAAACCTCCACTTTTCGTTGAATCGTATTATGATAAAGTAGCACAACGAAAGGGACAGCAAGAGGCGAGTTAGTTCGCAACGTGACCGTCGTAGAGCACCACCGCCATCGCGAACGGACGGCTCTCGCGCCTGGTGTACCGTGTAGTGTGTATACGGTGTATACGGTGGAAGTACGGTACGAAGCGGGACGAGCGAAATCGGACGTGAGACACAGGTGGAGGAATCCTCGCGCACCGTCCCTGCGGTCGTCCGTAGATCCGAGGTACGGTGGCCTCGTCCTTGCTCGTTGTCTCGCGGCTCGTTCACTCTCGCGAGAGAGTGCTCGCGCGCACGTACGCGAAAAGAGAGAAAGAGAGAGAGAGAGAGAGAGAGAAAGAGTATATGTACGTGTGTGTAGGTGCGTGCGTGACGTGCGTATACGGCGACGACACGACGACGACGACGACAACGACGGCGACGACGACAACGACGGCACGACGACGACGAAGCGTGTATTGTTCCGGGGCGCGGTGCGCGACTCTCGCGAATCAACGACGGGCTTGCCCGAGGATCGCAGGAGTTTAATTATGCCCGCGGGATCGTCGGCCAGGTTCAGGAAAAAGAACTGCTACGCCTCCGCCTGAAGAGAGTGCACACGGAGCCTACGAGGCGCATGCTTCCCCGCCCGCTCCCTCGCCATTTTGGAGGTGAATACAATTTTCTCGACCCTTTTTTAGTCCGACTGAGACCTGCCCTGGTGTCCCAACGGGATTCCCATCCGCCGTGGATCGCGGCGCGTGAAACCGCGCGATGTCACGCCACCCAGACGGACAGACGGATAAATGGATGGATGGACGAATGGACGGACGGACAGATGGACGGGGACGTGACGGGACCGGCCGTCGTGATGCGCGTGCTACAACGCGTGAGGTTCATGTTTTCGTCCCGTCGTCGTCGACGGCGCAGCGCGGTGCAGCACAACACCGCGACGCGGTTGGGGGTGCGGCGGAGTGCGAGAAGGACGAGGACAGCGACGGAAAGAGGTGGGGCAGGGGGCCTGATCGGCCCGATAAGCGCCGAGGACCCCAACCCTCCTTACGCCCGCATTTCTCCACCTCCTGCGGACTCTCACCGTCACCGTTATCATCGACGTCGTCGTCTTTGTCATCGTCGTCGTCCGATCTGCCCGCGGACTTCCTTTTTCCTCCGCCAACGAAGTTTCCGACGTCGTCGCGTCGTCACCAATCTCTCGCGAAAAGGATCGCAAATCCGGAGGCGGCTCGCTCGCGTTTAAGGATGTTCCCCCTCGGCGCCGCGCGTCGATAATTCTCTCTCTCTCTCTCTCTCTCTCTCTCTGTCTCTCTCTTTCTCTTGTGCGCGCCCTGTCGAATTTTGTCTCTTCAGCCTCTCTCCCCCTTCCATCTTCTTTTTCTCTTCTTCCTGATCCGATCCTGTCCATGCGACGGAATTGTCACAGAAACGGCGATCTCTGATAGTCCTCTCTATCGAGAATCGGCCTCCTTGACGATAGACACTAGGTGTCAGCCGCTTGAGATTATTCGAGACCACGACGAGTAACGTGACTAACGCCACAACAATGACGGGACTGCGGCGGTTCTCGTCGCTCCTACGAGAAGAACGTACCTATTTGTGTCGTTTGAGCTGTTACATGTTCCCTCTTCGCCCTCCTCACCGTCGCAATCGCGAGGGAAATCGCATTTAGATCCTCACACCCGCGAACGAGAGATAAAAAACGGAAATGACACGACAACGACCGATGACAAGATTCGGACAATGGGCCGAGCGTAAATATTTGTTGTTGTGCCGCTGCGTTTTCAATGCGCCGTGCTGCCATTCAGTGTACATTCAGTCCTTACGCTCGTAAATCACGCCTAAGGTACATCCGGCTCGGAGGAAGGTGCCTCGACTTTTGATACACGAGCGAAAAATTAGCGGATGCTTTTCCGAGAAACGAACAGTTTCTTCCCGAGAGAGTTCTCGGACCCGTGATGAACTCGGAGTTGAAAATTTCATAAAGAATTTAATAGCTTGCAATTAAATCGCTTGCAATCACTTTCGTGCAGTGAAATTAGAGAATATGAATAGGAAAGTAGTGTTTCCAAGATAATCTCTGGTGCGAATCGGTTATAGTGTAAAAACTGCAAGGCTTTATTATTAAATTCTTGACATTAAAATATGACAGTTTGTGGAAATGCAGACATATGAAATTTGTAAGAAGACACAATTAAAACGTTTTATGAATGATAATCTGATTAAAGTACACAAATATACTTTATAATTATGCAAGAATGATACCACATATTATTAAGATTTTAAATTGTTAATTTGAAAGTGCTCTTCATTGCAAAGTTATCATTCTTAATTAGTGTGTGATAAAATTAATGATTTGCAAATACTGAAATGTGTAAATTCCTTGTTGAAATGTGAAATAAATTTAAAAATATTGATATATTAAGATATTGATATTAGTTACATTAATGTTTTGAGAATACAAAGAAATGAAATTTTATCTTATTTGATTATAATGATCTTTATCACAAACCTGTATTTATCAACATTCTTATTTAGTATTAAAAAATAAAAATTAATAAATCTTGATTTTCTTTAGCATAATTTTGTAAAGCCTTATCTCTGAATGAAATAAGAAATCTACCCTTAACGTGTCATATAACAGTTTGTGAATTTTTGAATATTTTTTTTTTAATTTTATATTTTTTATGTAATTAATTAGATTATGAAACAATATATATAGTGATGTGATATATAATTATTGTAGCTTTAAATTTTATGAGCTTAATATGTCTAGACTTAAAAACATATTTTTTTTATAGAATGTTAAGTTTGGGAATGGACTGACAGAGGATTCAATAAAAACAGACAAGGAATCTAAAGATAACAAGGCAAGGTATCTGGACTAGGCCTCGGGCATCTAATTATCAACAACTCGACTATGCCAGCTGTTGCAAGGCCTGGTAGTTTAAAGGACCCAGAGATCGCCGAATTATTTGAGAAAAATGATCCGGAGAAAATATTTGAGGATTTGCGCGAGATCGGGCATGGTAGTTTCGGAGCTGTTTATTATGCACGATGCCTGGTTACCAAAGAAATTGTTGCCATCAAGAAAATGTCTTATCTGGGGAAGCAAACGGTGGAAAAGTGGCAAGACATTTTAAAAGAAATTCGATTTCTTAGGCAACTTAATCATCCTAACACTATAGAATATAAGGGTTGCTATCTCAGGGACCACACTGCCTGGGTATGTACGATATTTTTGTGTCTTTATTCGATTAGTTCGATCATATTTTAAATCCTTCAAACTAGCATTTTCTAATTAAAATTGTACCACTGTATGCAGTTGGTGATGGAATATTGTCTTGGCTCCGCATCAGATATTATTGAGGTACACAAAAGACCACTGAAGGAAGAAGAAATAGCTGCAATATGCGAAGGTGTATTGCGCGGCTTGCATTATCTTCATTCCCTTGGAAGAATCCATCGTGATGTGAAAGCTGGAAATATTCTACTTACTGAGAACGGTACAGTGAAATTAGCTGATTTTGGGTCCGCGAGTATAAAATGTCCAGCCAATAGCTTCGTAGGAACTCCGTACTGGATGGCACCAGAAGTTATATTGGCTATGGACGAGGGGCAATATGATGGCAAGGTTGACGTATGGTCATTAGGAATAACATGCATCGAATTAGGTATGTGTATATTTCAGGTATTAGTTATGATTATGTCTAAAAACTTATTACAACATCAGTATGTTTGTACATCAACTACTTAAAGTAAATATTACCATATAATTTAAATTATAATTTGCACAATTATTCAATATCTGCATTTATAATTCTTTTATGCCTAATAAAATGGCAATGGTTATTCCAATTCAAAAGACATTAATATAATTTTTCAAAGTAAAGTTCTATAATTTAATTAATATCTCAATTTTTCTGTTTTATCAAAGAAAAATTGTTTTATCTATATTCTTATTATTATTTATTCTTAAACACAAAACTTACTAAACAATTTATATTATTGATTATAGCTGAAAGAAAACCACCTTATTTTAATATGAATGCAATGAGCGCCTTGTATCATATTGCACAGAACGACACTCCAACGTTAAATTCGCCAGATTGGACTGATGTTTTTCGACATTTTGTTGAGGTGTGTCTCACAAAAAGTCCAATTGAAAGACCAACATCCGGGAAACTGTTATCAGTGAGTTGTCTTTATGTATATCTGTATCGATACTTTACATTATCCGTATGTATTTTTTCTTTTTTTTTGTTTTATTATGTTTAGTATGTTAGTAGTAGTCTAGTTGTTCTCTTATAGGCTTTCAATTTTACAGCATCAATTTGTCACTAGACCACGTTCTCCTCAAGTTTT